TCAATGATAACTTAAATTTGCTCAGAATAAATCCTCAACACATTACACCGTGAGACATTATTTCGCGTCTTCCCTACATAAATGGAGAAACACAGCTTGGAGTGTTACACACTGAAAAGAGATGTAATAGTTCAATGGACCAATTATTAGACTTGTAGGGTAGCTTGATGGCACAATGGATAAGAGTGCCTGGCCTGGAGTTAGAAAGACCTGAGTTCAAATCTGGCCTCAGATACTTACTAGCTGTGTGACTCTGGGCAAGTCACTTAACCTTTTGCCTCAGCTTTCTCATCTGTAAAATAAGTTGTAGAAGGAATGGCAACACTTCAGGATCTCTGCGAAGAAAAGCCCAAATGGGGTCAGAAAGAGTCAGAAACAATTGAACAATGACAACTGAACTGATAGGGAACGAGATTGGGGAACCTGAATTCTAATTCCCTTTCTATGTAAGCTTATGGTGTGACCTAGGACAAGTCCCTTCCCCTCTCTGGCTGAAATGTAGTTTTCTGACCCATTAAACATGGGAGTAGGACTAGATGATGTCTAAGATTTCTTCAAGCTTTCTGGCTCTGTGTTTTTTTTGTGGGGGGAGCACTGGAAGAGCTCAGGTCTCCTAGTTTCCTGTTCAGAACTCCATTTGCTAAGCCAAAGCATTCCCTCCAGAGCCCTACTGAGAGAAGGAAGGATAGAATGATTTCCCCACAAAGGGGCCGTACTGAAAGGTTACTGATAATGTCCTCCTGTTGATTTTCTTGCCCCTCCAGATTCTCCCAGCTAGCAGATGGTTTTGGAGATGTGCCCTAACCGCTTTTACAAGCTGGATGCCTTTAGTTCTTCTGGTTTCTGACTTGGGGTGGTCAAAAGCCTTCTCATAGGAGGTGAAAGACTGCTTAGTAGACTAACAAAATATTGTTTTGCCTGTTAAAAAAAGAAAAAGCCTAGCAAAAACCCAAAGTACTTACTGAGAGATAGGAAGTCAGGAAACAGATACTGAAATGAGATCTGTCTTCCTGCGAATCCAGCTAAAGGCTGGATTCAATAATCCTTGTTTGCTTAAGTTAGACTTCATACCTTGATTGCAGGTGTCAAAAGATAAAATTGATGACTAAACTTGGATTCTTATCTTGAAAAGCAACAGTGGGAAATAGAGCCCTACCTGCAGTACATTTTCTTTTAGCATGGCCAATTACTACAATAAAGAAAACATTTTATTCAATTCGATTCAGCTAGTATTTCAAACATCCACTGTGTAAAAAAAAAAGAAGAGTCTCTGCCCTCAAGGAGCTTACATTCTAGCAGATTTTTAATTAGATAAATTAATAGAGGGTAATTTAAGTAGAGAGAGAATAGTAACAATTAGGGGGCTCAGAAAAAGCTTTCCAGAGGAGGTGATCCATGAACTAAATCTTGAAGAAAGCTAGAGATTCTAAGAGGCAGAGGTGAGGAAGGGGTACTCTATGCATGTGGGACAACCTGTACAAATGCACATAGCTGGGAGATGGAATGCTGAATTCAGGCAACAGCAAATAGGCCAGTTTGGCTGGAAAAGAGAATGTGTGAAGGTAAGTAGCATACGAGTTCTGAAAAGGAAGGCTGGAGCCAGATTGTAAAAAGCTTCAAGTGTTAAAAGTGAGGGATTTGTGTTTTTATCCTAGAGGAAGAAGGAAGTCACTGACGATTTTTGAATAGAAATATGCCAAGATCCTAATTTTGCATTGCTGTTGATATTGTTCAGTCATTTCTGACTCTTTGTGACCCTGTTGGGGGTTTTCACGGCAAAGATACTGGAGTGGTTTGTTACTTCTTTCTCCAGCTCATTTTACAGATGAGGGAACTGAGGCAAACAGGGTTAAGTGACTTGCCCAGGGTCACACAGCTAGGAAGTGTCTGAGGCTGGATTTGAACTCAGGAAGATGAGTCTTCCCGACTCCACGCCTGGCACTCTATCCACCGTGACACCTTGCTTTAGGAAGGTTATTTTGGCAGCTGTGTTGAGAATCGATTTGACAGGAGGGGAAACCAGAAGAAGGAAGACAAATCAGTAAGCTATTGTGATAGTCTAGCTAAGAAACAATGAGGGCCTAAACTAAAGCAGTGAGTAGACAGAAAGGGACAGATCTAAGTTATGTCACTAAGGAAGAATAGATAAATCTTGCCAGCTGATTGTATTTGAGGATGAGGGAGAGTGAAGGGTCAAGAGTGGCTCCAAGGCTGCAAGCCTGGGTTGACTGGAAGGCCTCAACAGAAATAGGAATGTTTAGAGGAGGAGCTAGCTTTTAGGAAAAGAGAATAAGTTCTGTTTTAGATGCTGAGCTTGAGGCAAATAATCCAGGTGTAGAAATTTTTCAGGCAGTTGATAAAGCGAGATTAGAGTTTGAGAAAAATGAGTTTTGGATTTGTAGATTTAGGAATTGTAGATTTAGGAATCATCTTCATAGACATGATAGACATGATAATCAGACCTATGGGAGTTGATGAGATCATCACAAAAATGGGTGCATAAAAAGAAGAGGGAAAAGGAAATGGGTTTGGTGGACAAGCAGAATATGGATGATGATCCAGTCAGAGACTGGTCAGACAAGTCGTAGGAGAACAAGGAAACTAATTATTAGCCTTGGCAATAGGAATGTAAATAGCACAGTAATTCAGGATAATTGTTCTTTACTCATTGTGAACATGAGCTAGCATTCTATTTATCTGTGTTAGCCTTACCTAAATAAAAAGCAGTAAAAAGGTTTATTGAACTTCCAATGACCCTGACAACTAGGAAGAAGAATCAATCAAACAAAAAGCCCTTTTAAGTACCTACTGCGTGCCAGGCATAAGAGCTTCATTACACATATAGTGTTTATAACCATTTCTTACTTCACTCTTATCTTCCAGCTACCATAAATCTATTTTAGCCTGGAATGGCCTAGGGCTCTCAATGACATGGTCATTATAAACTCTAATTTTCAGGAAATGTTAAGCATGTGACACTGAGGTGAAACTTGAGTTATTTTTTTTAAGCACTTCTAGAGCAATGTTTTATAGTAGAAGGCACTTCACTAGAATTAAGTTCTCACATCTGCTATTCAGTACCTTGGGCAAGTTTTGTTCCTTCTTGGGCCTCAGTTTCCTCATCTGTAGAATAAGGTGGTTGACTAGATCTCCAAGCTCATTTGAAGTCCTAACAGTCAGTCCTTCTATTATGCCCAGACACTGGGTCTGAGCTCTGGACTTCACTTGAAACTAACTTTCCATACAAAGAACATCCCAACCGCGCTCAGACAGCACTAATATAACAACAACAACAACAATAACAATAATAGCTAGCATTTACATAGTATTTTAAGGTTTGTAAAGCACTTTATAAATATCTCATTTTAGTCTGACGATAACCCTGAAAGGTAGATGATATCGTTATCCCCATTTTATAGATAAGGAAATAGAGGCTGAGGGTCACAGAGCTAGGAAGTATCTGAGGCAGAATTTGAACTTAAGTCATTCTGACTGTAGGCTAAATTGACCAAGGAAGACACCAGGGAAGTAGTGATGTGATAAAAATCCCGATGATCCACTTTATGGATAATTCTAGGCCTCTGTCTCTTCATGGCTCCTGGGACGTGCCTTTTGGACATCTTGGCACATCCTTCCCAGAGGAAGGTTTGGGGGACGAGAAGGCTAAATTCTGCTATTCAATACTGGGTAGTAGGAGTGTTTTTGATTATCTGCTGATTCCAAGCTCTCTCTGTCCCCACATTAATACGGATAATTGAGTGTTGGCTGTATTTGCCTCCTGCTACTGGGACCAGGACTTAACATCTCCACGATGTGCCCAGAGCTCAGCTAGAGTGACATTCTTGAGATGGAGTCACCTGGCAGCATGAGGTGGCTTTTATGGGTACTTTTAAGGGAGGATGCCTTTTTTTAAGATTGAATATACGGGGGGAGCTCAGGGGCAGAGGCCTGCTTTATTACCTAGCTGCTGGTCTCAGGGTCATACTGAGGAGAGGAGAACTGTAGGATGAAGAGTTCTGGTGGAAACATGACCATCCCAAGGTATAACAACCTGCGGAAAGTAGACCAGGCAATGCCTCCAGGAACTGCTGGCTGTTTCCTCCCTTCATAAAAGTAGAAAAAAATGTAGGCACCCTATCCTCCACCCCTGGCTAACTTCCTTGGGAAGAGCTAGGGCAGCTCTTACACCTTCAGGGAGAAGTCATCCTCCTGGAGAAATCACTTGAGTCCCCAAAAGGTGCAGTTGGAGACTGAAGAAAGAAATCCAGTTCCTATCCTTTCCCTAGCCTTTAGGTCAGTCCCAACTTCTGCAGTGGGCCAGTAGTGGGCCAGTCTGAAGCAGCGTGCATTTGGATTCTTACATAGGTTGAAATTTTCTTTTGGTAACCACTTCTTGAATTGGTCTTCCCCTCATCAGTCTCTTTCCTCCTCCCCATCTCCACCCATTACTGGCTGTCGAGCTCTATCTGGAGTTGGGAGGACTATGTTCCAACTGTGTAGTATATAAGTGAGGTTACTGGATGGGACTTAGGAGCGGGGTCTAGCTCCAACTCTGCTTTATGTCTTTAGATCAATCATTTCAATCTTTCTGAGACTTGGTACTTTCATCTGTAGAATGTGAAGCTTGAACAAGCTTCTCTGGCCTTCATCTCTAAGCAGTTCTGAATGCGGAGCTGCCGCCTTTCATGCCCAGACCAGGTATTGAGCTCCCCATGACTAGTGAGACCCAGGTGCTGAATTCCTATCTTTCTGGCCCCGTGTGTATTCATGTGCATTGCATGCATGCGTGTGTGTGTATACGTGTGTGTATGTGTGTGTTTTCCTGGAAGCAACACATAGGACGCTTATTGATGGGGAGCTCTGTGGTCTGGAGCCAGTGGTGAGACAGTAAACATCACGGAACAAGTAGCCCTTTCAGTCTCCCTCCCTTGGCAGGACAGTGTGAAAAATAACTCTTGGGAAGTCAGGCCCTGGTGGCAGATGCTGCAGTGTTGCCAACCTGTCCCAGCCACGTCGGAGCTCAGGAAGCAAGGAGCTCTGTGCCCAGGGTTGAGAGCAGCCGGCAGTGGTAGTTTTCCACTCCAGGACTTCAGAAGAGTGAATGGACTTCTCTGTCCTGCATGATGGCGGGCAGAGCGGGAACAGCAGGAAACCACCAGAGTAAGTCAGTGGGCAAATCAGGGGATACTCTTTGCCACGAGCCTTCTTCCTTCCTGTGTGTTTGTTTAATTCTTTAAATTTGGCTGAGTGGAGCTTTGGGACTGGTTGGCAGGGGCATGGCAGGTGAAGGAGAGGGCATGGGTGGGAACTTCGAGAGCCTGGGCCAAGCCTGGCTTCTGGATCTGCTGTGGCCATTACCCAAGAGGTAACCTTCAGTGGAAACTGAGTGGTGCTCTCCCTGAAGGAGTGGGCTTGAATTATGGACATCTGAGGTCATTTAGCCCCACCCCCACCGAAGGAAGAGGAGGCCTGGAAATTTTAAGTAGAGATGCTCAAGGTCACGGAAATACTAATGGAAGAAGCCAGGGTTCAAACCAGGATGGACCACCTGTATAAAGCCCTTCTGCTTGAAGACTCTTCAGTAAAATTCCATTCCCTTTTAATTAACTGAGATTTATTAAGCTTCTACTTAGTTACCATGCCAGGGGCCAGGGATAGAAAGAAAAAAACAAAACTATCTCTAACATGGAAGAACTTACATATTTTTTCCTCTTTTTTGAAAATAATAGCAACATGTGCCCATCCCCAGGCCTTCCTCTTCTTCATGACCCTTCAGAGATCAGCGAAGGCTTCAAATCATATCCACAACCTTCAGTAACCTAGGAGATAGTTCATCTGTGCTTGGTAATTTGAATACATTGAGGGCAACTGGACGTAGCATTTCCAGAGGCAGCCAGGTGACACAGTGGATAGAGTACTGTACCTGCAGTCAGGAAGATCTGAGTTCAAGTCTAGCTCCAGACACGAGCTGTGTGATCCAGGGCAAACCACTTTACCTTCTGACTCAGTTACCTATTCTGTAAAATGGGGTTAACAACAGTACCTACCTCCCATGGTAGTTGTGAGCACCAAATGAGATGCTTATAAAGTGCTTTGCAAACTTTAAAATGCTATGTAACTGCTAGCTAGCTATTATTATTATTACTGAGGATCCAGGAAGACCTGAGCTCAAATCTGTCCTAGCTGGGTGACTCTGGGCAAGTCACTTAATCCCTTTTAGACTCAGTTTCTTCATCTGTTAAATGTAAAATAACAGCATTTACCACCCAGAGTTGTGAAAATAAGATGGGATATTTATAAATGGCTTTGCAAACCTTAAAGCACTAAATACATGCTACCTATTAACTATTTTTACCATCCCTTCAGTCAACTCCTTCCTACCTCCCTTCTTCCCTTCCTTTCCTTCCTTGTATTAATTCCCTATTGTGTACCTATGATATTACTGTACAAATACCTTCCATCCCCCTAACCCACAGACATACTCCTTCCCTTTCTTTCCCCTTCCTTCCTTCCTTCCTTCCTTCCTTCCTTCCTTCCTTCCTTCCT